GAAGATATCAGCCTAGGAAAGAATTTATGAAGAAGACCCAAGTGGCAATCACAGCAACAAGGAGTATAAATAAATAGGATTTGATTAAATTAAAATCTTCTGCACAGCCAAGGAAATAATCAAAACAGCAAATAGAAAACCTATGGAGTGGGAAAAAAATATTTTCAAGCTATATATCAAATCAAGGGCTAATAACCAAAATCTATACTAAAAAAAAAACCTCTACCAAATCAGCAAGGAAAAAACAAACAATCCCATTAAAAAGAGAGTAAAAGACAGAGAGCAAAAGAAGAGAGACAAGTGAACAATGAACAGAAGGAGAAATGTTCAACATCACTAATGAGGGAAATGCAAATAAAAACCACATTGAGAAATCACTTTATCCCAGTTAAAATGGCTTTTATCAAAAAAGACAATAGATGCTGGCATAGATGCAGAGAGAAATAAATGCTCATATCAGCAGTCCATTGGGTATGTATGAGATAGGTTTTATACGTTTGCTCTTAAGTTAGATTTGTATGTAGGTCAGAAGAAGTATATTTATCTATTGTCTGTAATTGCCTCTGTTCATAATTGTAATTTGTACATAAGTCTGATGTTTGTACCCCCATTGGTAAGTGCAAGTTATAGATTGGTTGGATGTTTGTAACTAGGGAACTTACTATGTCTCTGTTCATATGTATGACTTGTATGTTAGTCAGATGATTGTAACTTGGGGACTGCCTGTATTCTGTGGGTGGGATTATAAATTAGTACAACTTCTATGGAGAACAGTATGGAGATTCCTCAAAGACCTATGATTTGGTCAAATAATTCCACTACTACGTATTTACCCAAAGGGAAATAAGTCATTTTATCACAAAGACAACCCACACACAAATGTTTATTGCAGCACAGTTCACAATGGCAAAGAGGTGGAATCAACCCAAGTGCCCATCAATTCATGAGTGAATTAACAAAATGTAGTGTATGTACACTTCTTCTACGGGTGAAGAAGGATGACTTAAGCCCTTTTGCAAAAATTTGGATGGAACTCGACACCATTATCTTAAGTGAAGTGTCTGAAGAATGGAAAACAAATACCACGTGTCCTTCCTACTAAACTGGAACTAACAGATGAGCACACTGTGTATAGAAGGAAGTAATACTCAGTGGAAATCAGGCAGGGGAGAAGAAGAGAAGGAGAAGGGTCAAAACCTACCTAATGGGTACAATGAACACTATTTGGGTAATGGGCACAATTACAACCCTGACTCAAGCTTAACAAAAGTGATGCATATAACCAAAAACATTTGTACCCATGTAATATTTGGAAATAATAATAATAATAAAATAAATACACAGACACTAATTTAGGAATACAAAAGGAAAACCTTAAAAAAAGAAAAGGGAAAATAACAATTTATTAGTTTCACACAGTATTTAATGTAATCATGTAAAATCAAAATAATTTATAGATAAATTAGAAGAATAAGTGAGTTTAGTAAAGTTGCTAACTGTAAGATAAATAAAATCAACTGCATTTAGAGCAACAACAAAAACATTTAGAAAACAAAAAGTTTTAAAGGGATTATCACTTAAATAGTCAAAAAATGTCAGATATCTAGGAATAAATCTAACCAAAATTATGAACGCTTTATATGCAGAAAATGATAAAACATTATAAAGAGAAATGGAAGAGGATCTAACATCATGACAGTCTCTCTGCTCATGGACTAAAAGAGGTTAACAGATATATCATTAAGTGGATTTCTTAAAACTGACCCAAAAAACACAAAATGTACACACACAAAAATTAATAAATTTCAGTATATTCAAAATTAGATACTTCTATTCAAAAAAATTAATCATGGCTCAGCTCCTGTAGCACAGGGGTTACAGCGCCAGCCACATACACCAAGAGTGCCGGGTTTAAACTTGGCCCAGGTCAGCTAAACGAAAATGACAACTGCAACAAAAAATAGCTGGGCATTGTGGTGAGGGCCTGTAGTCCCAGCTACTTGGGAGGGTGAGGCAAGAGAATCACTAAAGCCCAAGAGTTTGAGGTTGTTGTAGCTGTAACACCATGGCACTCTACTGAGGGTGACATAGTGAGACTCTGTTTCAAAAAAAAGAAATAATAATTAATCAAGATCAAATCAAGTCATGATTAAAAGACAACAAAATGAGAGAATATATTTGTGATATATGTTACTAATAAAAATTAGCATCCAGATATTGATTATATAAGCCAATAATAAAATATTTGGACAATCATGATACTACTGGTAACAGGCAGGCAGTAACCAACCAGAAGACAGAAAGGTCCATATGAATGAACAGTTGAAAAAAGAAGCTGCTGTGGATTTCACCCTTCAACCAACTCAAAAAGAACCAGTACGAGATAATGTGAATACAGGATAATGTAAATTTGAAATTAATGCTTTCCTTTGAGCAGGGAATTAACATTAATTAAAAGAAAGCTAAAAGCCAACTATTTTAATTATAACATGTTAGCTGAAGCGATGTGAAATGGCTGTTTTTAAAGCAAAAGACGGTTAAAAAACAAAACAAAACAAAACACCAGAACCTAGCAATTATATATGGCTCAACCCCTATCAATTTTCAGTTAGCCATGGTATTGTAAATTGCAAGTTTACATAGAATGCTCCAATCTGTAGAGAACCTGACTACTAATTGATGGGCTTGAAATTACTTCTCACTCAGACTAAAATTTCATTTTATTGAGTTATACAGGGTGGCCATAAAGTTCGTGTGCAATAGTTACAACTATTTAAATTGCACACAAACTTTATGGCCACCTTTATAAGGCATTTTTACAGTGTTATGTTTTCCTGGAATTCGATACAAAAAACTATTCTATAGCCCAGGAAAGAATATAATTCTTTATGTTTGTCAAAATTGTAAAATGATGATTATTCAAAGCCTAAACGTGAAGGAGAGAAATCTAACTGAGCATAAATTAGTTGGATTCACAAAGTCTTCTTTTTTCATTTTACTATTACCAAAGCAACTTCTTTGAGTCATTACAGTATAAAAATTCCAGTATATTTTCTGAAATACTGTCTCTGTTGGCTCCCTTAACTTAAACGATTCTCACTAAGTTTAAGCAAATCGTAAATATTACTGGAACAGAAATGCATACATTGACTCATGGAACAGACTAAAAAGTCAGAGAATAAACCCAAGTTGGGAAATCAACCCATTAGTTGACCCATTTCTAGTCAACTAATCCTTGACAAAGGAGCCAAAAACACATAATGGGGAAAGGAAGTCTCTTCAATAAATGATATTGGGAGAACTGGATAGCTACATGTGAACAAACAAAACTGGACCTTACATCACTCTATATACAAAATCAACTAAGAATTAATTAAAGACTTAGATGTAAAACTTCAAACTGGAAAAGTACTAGATGTAATTATAAAGGGAAAGTTTCCTGACATTGGTCTGGGTGAAGTTTTTTGGATATGACTGAAAAGCACAGGCAACAAAAGAAAAAATGCACAAATGAGATTGCATCAAACTAAAAAGCTTCTGCACAGCAAAGGAAACAATCAGTAGAGTGAAGAGATGACCTACTGAATTGGAGACAATTTCTGTGAATGATATATCTGATAATGGATTCATATTAGATAAAATAAGGAATTCAAACATCAAAATAGCAAGAAAACAAATTGCTCCTTTAAAAAATGAGCAAAGAACCTGAAAAACATTTCTCAAAAGAAGACATACAAATGACCAACAGGTATAAAAAGAAGTGTTCACCATCACTAATCATCAGGGAAGAGCAAATTAAAACCATAATGAGATATCACCTTACACCTGTTAGGATGGCTATTGTAAAAAAGACAAAAGAAATGTGCTAAGTATGTGGAGAAAATGGAACCCTTATACATTGTTGGTAGGCATGTAAATCAGTATATTCATTATGGAGAACAATATGGAGGGTGCTCAAAAAGCTAAAAATAGTACTACTATATGATGCAGAAATTCCACTCTGGGCATACATCCAAAAGGAATGAAATCAGCATGTTGAAGAGATATCTGCACTCCCATGTCACTGCAGCATAAGATATGGAATCAACCTACATGTCCAACAGTGGATGAATGGATGACGAAAATGTGGTTTACATACACATGCAATATTATTCAATCCTAGGGAGGAAATCCTGTCATTTGAGACAACATTGATCAACCTTGGAGGACATTATGCTGAATGAAACAAGCCAGGCACAGAAAGACAAATACCACATGGTCTCACTTGTGTGTGGAATCTAAAAAATTTGTATATACAGAAGCAGAGAAAACAATGGTGGTTACTAAGGTCTGGGGGGAAATGGGGAATTGCGGAGATATTGTTTAGAGGATACAAATTTTCAATTAGACAGGAAGAATATATTCAGAAAATTTATTGTAAATGATGACCATAGTTTATGTTTTGCATAGTTGAAAATTGCTAAGAGAATAGATACTAAATATTCTCACCACAAAAAATGAGGTAATGTATATGTTAATTAGCTTCATTAGCCATTCCACAATGTATACATGTATCAAAACATCATGTTGTGCACCATAAATATATACAATTTTATTTGTTAATTAAAAAATAAAAAGCAGTAAATAAAATAAATGTGCACTGACATTCTGAAGTTAAACAACATTTATATTTTGACAGATACAAACTACCAAATCAATAAATAGGAAACCCAAATAATTAATAAACAAAGGAAAATATGCTAACCTTTCTTTAGTTCTTTTTTTTCTCTTTCTGCTTTCTTCCCTTCCTATATTCTTCCTTTCTCTCTCCCTTCCTCCTTCCCACCCTCCTCTTTCTTCCCTTTCCTTTCTCTTTCCCTTCCTTCAGCATTGAAGCTAATAGTTTTAAATGCAAACAATTATTAATACTTAATAATAGCAATATGTTTCTTGGTCTTTTACTTTAATATATCTCTTAAATTTCTTTAGAAAGAAAGACATAAAAAGAAAAATGTTATTACCTTTGCCTCCTTTACAATGAACCACTATGACATTTTCCTCATCTTGAGTCATCCACTCATCTACTTCCTTGGAGAACACCAACATCTCACTAATTTCAAATATAATATTTTTAGCTCATCAATTTATAATTGCCAAAATGTGAAAACAGCCTAAATGCCCACCAAACTAGGAATGGATTAACAAACTATGGTATACCATGGAATACTATTCAGCCACTAAAAAAGATGGAGACTTTACATCTTTTATATTAACCTGAGGAGGTGGAAGACAGTCTTCTCAGTAAAGCATCACAATAATGGAGAAGCAAGAATCCAATGTATTTAATTCTAATATGAAGGCAGCAGATAAGTTAATACAAGGGGGGCTAGGGAAATGAGCGAGTGGGGAGAAGGGAGGATTCTTTATCCCCTCAATGAACCCCAAACAATAAAGAAAAAAAAAGATTTTTAGCTGAGTTGAAATATTTCCAAAAATTCAAGCCCAATGTATTTAGCCCTCAACTAGGCATAAAACTTACCACAGAGTGGGGACATTGTGATCATCAATCATAAGTCTACAAACTCTATAATGGAAGTGCTTAGGATCATAACCTTTTTCACCTAAAATAAATAATACACATGTTACATCCCCATGCCTAATAACACAGTAAATAGTGTTTTTGAATAATTAATTTCAATTAACTTTAACTATGAAGTTATGAATAATTAATTTTTTT